ACATACATACATGCATACATATGCACGTTGTTATATTCTATCTATGTATAAGGGGAAATTGCATGCCTTGACATTAAACAGCTCCATTACCCTGAATAGCAAAGCAACATCAGGCAGGATGATCACTTCTACACGAGATTCATTTTATCTAGGTTGTGACACTGAACATGCGCACGATGGTTTGTTGCGCTGAAGTCTGGGCAGTCTGAGAGAACCATGTTTCGACTGCTGCTGCACAGGTAAGTTCGCGCAAGCGCAAGGCCTTGCTGCTTCTTGGGTTTAGGGTGTAGGGTTNNGGTTTAGGGTTTAGGGGCCCCTTCTTGGGAGCCTCTATTGTGGTCTATAATGGGGCCCCTCATTTATCTTTTAAATTCAAACCCCCAAATTTTCCACCCGTAGCCATCACATGTTGCCACTTGCCGTCGTTCTTGCTGTTTTGATACTGGTTGCTAACATTGGTGGAGCTTTGGTTCATGGTAGCATGCCGTGATTGCTTCCAGAGGTAAGCTGCGATGATGAGACTGTCTCGGAGACCGCAGGCAGAACAAAGGGAAGCATGTGTGTACTGCTCAGAATTGGAGCTACCCCGTAAGTCCAACTGGTATTACATTCGGGTCCCACACCTGTAGATTCTAAAAACTCCTGGGAGCTCAACGGGATCGGATCCTGCTACGTGTTGGGTGTATTGGGAAGCTCTGCTTGGGAGTCGCGTGTGTTTGGGTTGTGCTTGGGTACAACATTTCAAGGGAAGGGCGGAGGACGGAGCTGACTCCAACGTCGTGGATAGACGGGATTGCTGTTAAGGAACTNNCTTAAATTAAGTTACCATAATATGGCAAATAGGTAAATAATAGTAAATAACGGTGGTTTCCTAGTATAGTAAAGTAGCTTAGTTCAAGCAGCGACCCAGTAGAATGGGCAGCGCTCGCACAGAAGTTTGTGCAACTTGTGCGGCGCGGAGGTGTGCTGTCTGCCGATGAGCAGGAGGACACATTGTGAAATGCATCTCTGCCCGCTTGCTAGACATCATGTTTTAAGTCTGTTGTAATTATACCATGTGAGCTACTGTTAGTATCAGGCTTCCCAAGGGACCATTAATAATTGAGGATGCGCATGGGCTCCCTTTGGTTTAGCACAGCACCTGGTATACTCATGACGTAATATTAATCCATGTCCATTATTCATGTGCGGAATGTTGACTGTAGCTCACATGAACTGTGTAGATATCTGCTACAGGGCCTGAAAATCCTGGTGACGGAGGGTGAGGGAGTCTTGCACCATCCAGGGCCCCTAAATGACGGTACTTGCAAGGACGATAGCGGTTCAACGTGGTGCAAGATTTCCTCCA